GGAGGGGCGTGTGGGAAGAGGATGGGGGAAGGAGGGAGGGAGAGGAGAGAAGCGTACATACAAAGGGTAATTCGTTGGTGACAAAACTCGCATCATCTCGACTAGCCACTTGCAGTGTGTGCATGGCAGGAGGCAAGGGGGTGAGGAAAGGCGTGTGGGGACTGAGGAGAGGAGGAAGGGAGGGAGGGCGAGAAGACAAAGACAGAGGCTAACTGCCTCTCGTTTGAAGGGAATGCAGGTGAGTTTAAAGGCAGCGTGGTGGGGAACAGAGTGATGGGGGAGGGGTGGGGCGCAGAGTGATGGGGGAGGGGTGGGGCGCAGAGTGATGGGGGAGGGAGGGGTGGGGAACAGAGTGATGGGGGAGGGGTGGGGCGCAGAGTGATGGGGGAGGGGTGGGGCGCAGAGTGATGGGGGAGGGAGGGGTGGGGAACAGAGTGATGGGGGAGGGAGGGGTGGGGAACAGAGTGATGGGGGACGGAGGGGTGGGGAACAGAGTGATGGGGGAGGGAGGGGTGGGGAACAGAGTGATGGGGGAGGTGTGGGGGGAAGAGTGATGGAGGAGGTGTGGGGGGAAGAGTACGGGGGCTACAGGAGAGGGGAGGAAGCAAGTGAGTCGACTCAAGTCTCGAAGGGATTGAGCCAGCAGGGAAGTCGACTCTACAAATGAGGGTCCACATTTGTCCCTCGAGGTTCAGAAAAGAATACTCCTGAACCAGGATTGCCAGCGCGAAAGTGTTGGTTGGCGAGAATTCTGAATTTTGTGCAGCCACTTTTCTTCCGCAGTAACAATTCGCCAGGATTAAGGGTTTCGGGAGTCAAATGTGGACCCTCGTTTGAAGGGAATGCAGGGAGCGGCCACTTGCAGCGTTTGAGTGCACGTGGTGAGTGCCCTGCGTCCGCGCACAGCAGACAACAGCCACTTGCAGCGTGCGCGGCGGAAGGCCGGCAGCGGTGGGGAATGGTGTGTTGGGATGGGGGCGTATGCCGGCGGTGGTTTCTCAGTGAACTCCCAACGAGCGCCAGGAGAAATCTCACGCAGGCATCAGGGGATGCAATGTGTGAGTACGCAGAGGCAGGGCACAGTAGGGTGTGCTGTGTTGGGAGGGGGCCATACGGCGGTGGTACTTTCTCAGTGAACTCCAAACGAGCCGTTAGGGGGGAATTCTCAAGCAGGGATAATGGGATGTGATGGGCGAGTGCACAGAGGGAGGGCGGCGGTGGGAAAGGTGTGTTGAGAGGGGGCGTATGGCAGTGGACTGGTGGTACTTTCTCAGTGAACTCCCAACGAGCGCCAGGGGAAATCTCACGCCTCAAAAGAGACCTCACGCAGGCATTATGGGATGTGTGCGTGGCTTCGAGGCACAACGCTTGGTGGCATCTCACAAGTCACCTCGCAGGCATCATGGGATGTGTGCGTGGCTTCGAGGCACAACGCTTGGTGGCATCTCACAAGTCACCTCGCAGGCATCATGGGATGTGTGCGTGGCTTCGAGGCACAACGCTTGGTGGCATCTCACAAGTCACCTCGCAGGCATCATGGGATGTGTGCGTGGCTTCGAGGCACAACGCTTGGTGGCATCTCACAAGTCACCTCGCAGGCATCATGGGATGTGTGCGTGGCTTCGAGGCACAACGCTTGGTGGCATCTCACAAGTCACCTCGCAGGCATCATGGGATGTGTGCGTGGCTTCGAGGCACAACGCTTGGTGGCATGTCACAAGTCACCTCGCAGGCATCATGGGATGTGTGCGTGGCTTCGAGGCACAACGCTTGGTGGCATCTCACAAGTCACCTCGCAGGCATCATGGGATGTGTGCGTGGCTTCGAGGCACAACGCTTGGTGGCATCTCACAAGTCACCTCGCAGGCATCATGGGATGTGTGCGTGGCTTCGAGGCACAACGCTTGGTGGCATCTCACAAGTCACCTCGCAGGCATCATGGGATGTGTGCGTGGCTTCGAGGCACAACGCTTGGTGGCATCTCACAAGTCACCTCGCAGGCATCATGGGATGTGTGCGTGGCTTCGAGGCACAACGCTTGGTGGCATCTCACAAGTCACCTCGCAGGCATCATGGGATGTGTGCGTGGCTTCGAGGCACAACGCTTGGTGGCATCTCACAAGTCACCTCGCAGGCATCATGGGATGTGTGCGTGGCTTCGAGGCACAACGCTTGGTGGCATCTCACAAGTCACCTCGCAGGCATCATGGGATGTGTGCGTGGCTTCGAGGCACAACGCTTGGTGGCATCTCACAAGTCACCTCGCAGGCATCATGGGATGTGTGCGTGGCTTCGAGGCACAACGCTTGGTGGCATCTCACAAGTCACCTCGCAGGCATCATGGGATGTGTGCGTGGCTTCGAGGCACAACGCTTGGTGGCATCTCACAAGTCACCTCGCAGGCATCATGGGATGTGTGCGTGGCTTCGAGGCACAACGCTTGGTGGCATCTCACAAGTCACCTCGCAGGCATCATGGGATGTGTGCGTGGCTTCGAGGCACAACGCTTGGTGGCATCTCACAAGTCACCTCGCAGGCATCATGGGATGTGTGCGTGGCTTCGAGGCACAACGCTTGGTGGCATCTCACAAGTCACCTCGCAGGCATCATGGGATGTGTGCGTGGCTTCGAGGCACAACGCTTGGTGGCATCTCACAAGTCACCTCGCAGGCATCATGGGATGTGTGCGTGGCTTCGAGGCACAACGCTTGGTGGCATCTCACAAGTCACCTCGCAGGCATCATGGGATGTGTGCGTGGCTTCGAGGCACAACGCTTGGTGGCATGTCACAAGTCACCTCGCAGGCATCATGGGATGTGTGCGTGGCTTCGAGGCACAACGCTTGGTGGCATCTCACAAGTCACCTCGCAGGCATCATGGGATGTGTGCGTGGCTTCGAGGCACAACGCTTGGTGGCATCTCACAAGTCACCTCGCAGGCATCATGGGATGTGTGCGTGGCTTCGAGGCACAACGCTTGGTGGCATCTCACAAGTCACCTCGCAGGCATCATGGGATGTGTGCGTGGCTTCGAGGCACAACGCTTGGTGGCATCTCACAAGTCACCTCGCAGGCATCATGGGATGTGTGCGTGGCTTCGAGGCACAACGCTTGGTGGCATCTCACAAGTCACCTCGCAGGCATCATGGGATGTGTGCGTGGCTTCGAGGCACAACGCTTGGTGGCATCTCACAAGTCACCTCGCAGGCATCATGGGATGTGTGCGTGGCTTCGAGGCACAACGCTTGGTGGCATCTCACAAGTCACCTCGCAGGCATCATGGGATGTGTGCGTGGCTTCGAGGCACAACGCTTGGTGGCATCTCACAAGTCACCTCGCAGGCATCATGGGATGTGTGCGTGGCTTCGAGGCACAACGCTTGGTGGCATCTCACAAGTCACCTCGCAGGCATCATGGGATGTGTGCGTGGCTTCGAGGCACAACGCTTGGTGGCATCTCACAAGTCACCTCGCAGGCATCATGGGATGTGTGCGTGGCTTCGAGGCACAACGCTTGGTGGCATCTCACAAGTCACCTCGCAGGCATCATGGGATGTGTGCGTGGCTTCGAGGCACAACGCTTGGTGGCATCTCACAAGTCACCTCGCAGGCATCATGGGATGTGTGCGTGGCTTCGAGGCACAACGCTTGGTGGCATCTCACAAGTCACCTCGCAGGCATCATGGGATGTGTGCGTGGCTTCGAGGCACAACGCTTGGTGGCATCTCACAAGTCACCTCGCAGGCATCATGGGATGTGTGCGTGGCTTCGAGGCACGGCGCTCGGTGGAATGTGAGGAGGGAGGCGTTATGTAAGGGGGAGGGGAGGGGAGGTTGAAGGGGGAAAGGGGGGAGGAGGGGGTTAGAGAGGGACGGAATAGGAGGATGGCGAAGGGAGGAGGAAAAGGGGAAAATGAGCCAAGTTGTTTGGACTCAAAAGGTCATGGGCGGGGAGTTCGAGGAGGGCGGAGGGGGCGGGGAGGGCGGAGGGGGCGGAGAGGGCGGAGGGGGCGGGGAGGGCGGGGAGGGCGAGGAGGGCGGGCATTGGGGAGGGAGAGCAGCGGGGAAGGCGGGAAATCGTATGGGGAACAGAAGAAATGACGCGAAGGACGCGGAGCCTTACATGGAGAAGTAGCCGTTGGATCGCACAAACGCCACTGAATCTCCACCGTTAATCAGGATCTTCACAGCCGTCGATTTGATCTTCAGAGCTGATGGGAGAGATGAAATAAAGACAGTTTGCTCGCGAAAAGAAGAAAGTAAGAAAGGGAGACGGTGGAGCTCTCAACGACTATTAGGTCCGTGGCTGCCCTAATGCTGTTCCGCATCATGCTAATAAAGTGGACACGAGGAAAGCGACGTGAAAAATAGTCCTACTGTCCAGTCGCGCGTAGCCGTCCACCACGGTGGAGCCCGCAACGGCTACTCGGACAGTGATTACCATGATACTGTATCGAATCATGCTAATGAAAGGGACACGAGGAAACAGCGGAGTGTCCTACCGTCGAGTCGCACGTAGCCGTCCACCACGGCACCGCCGTTCACGGCCACGGCGCTCGCCGCTTGCGCCGATCCCGCTGCCGCCGCGTTCAGACACGCGAGCAGCAGCGACGCCGCTGTAGCTGAAACCGCGGAACGGCACGCGATACGGAGAAGCGCCATTTCTTGGGAGAATGGAAGGGTCGAAAGACTAGGATGATTGGGGACAGACGATCCCACCGTGAGCGCTGACTAAATTTATTCGTCGTAAGCGCATAGATAATAATCAGTGATCTGACATCCAATCGTAAAATCTGAGGATCTAATTACATTAGTTCCCGATTTTGCAGTTTGATCGGGGTGGAGGAAACTGATCAGTTTCGAATTCATGAAACCACGGTGGGTTCGAGATTCACGAAAAGACGGAAATCACAAAATGAGTGCGCGGAACATTGGAGTTGAGTGACGAAATGTGCGAAAACAAGATAGCTGTTCGAAATTCGGTGAGCAAGAACTTCGTCGCAATGATCACGACCACCGAACCGACAGTCCGTTCAGGTTAGGGGTAACCACATTGCGGTGCGGAAACTAGCAGAAAACGAACCCGCCTCAACTAGCACGAGCATATTCGGGTCGCACGTATGTGCGAAGCAGGTAATCACCAGGCTAAAATCTGACAAATAATCGGAGCTCAATATTCGCGTAGCAGCCGGTCGTTTTGAATAGCTCTGCTGTTAGCGTAGTGTCGCCTGACCACTCAAGGATTCCTCCCACAACGTTCCAGCGTCAATTTCCTTCCTAGAGGCGCCTCGGCCCGCTTTCCCTTCGCTTCAAGTCACCCTCGCTCGCGTTGCGGTCGCTCTGCCACCCACACAGCGCAGAGAGCGACAAGGAAGAGGGGAGGAAAGAGTGAGGAAGAGGTAGGGATGAGGCTGGTTTGATGGTTTGGGGGAGGGGGGTGGGGGGAGGGGGGAGAAAGAGGAGGCAGGGGAGCAGGAGGGGAAGGGAAGGAGGGAGAGTAAGCAAGAGCTGAGGTGGTGGGTTTTGCGCGAACCAGTGTCGTGTGTCTTCACTGCTTTCAAGAACCAGTGTTCTCGTTCTCGTTCTTGCCGTTTGCATCCCCACCATCCATCGCTCCCTCCCTCCCCCCGATCCGCCATCTATTAATCCGCTTGTCCATCCATCCGTCCATCCGTCCGTCCGTCCGTCCGTCCGTCCGTCCGTCCGTCCGTCCGTCCGTCCGTCCGTCCGTCCGTCCGTCCGTCCGTCCGTCCATCCATCCATCCATCCATCCATCCATCCATCCATACTCCGCACTCATTTCCATCCCATCAGTGTGCAACCCCCAACCTGCGAGCCACCCTACACCGCCCTAAAGGCGCCTTGCACCGCTTTCAACCACTGCCTGCACCATCAGCACCATGGCGCCAGTCACATCCGCCAGCACCCAGCCCTGGGTGGAGAAGTAGTGAGTGCCGGCCGGGGGAGCTGGGTGTGTGCGGGATGGTTGGGGAGTGTGGGGATTGCAGCATTAAGGTTGGCGTGAGCTGCTGTAAGACTTTTTACCTGTGAGTGTAAGACTTCTTACCTGTGAGTGTAAGACTTCTTACCTGTGAGTGTAAGACTTCTTACCTGTGAGTGTAAGACGCCAATGGTGTCAGTCACACCCACCAACACCCAGCCCTGGGTGGAGAAATAGTGAGCGCTGATCGAGGGTTGGGGTGGTATGGTGGTTCGGGGGTTTGGGGGTTGGGGTTTATGAGGGTTGGTGGTGTAATGGCTTGGTGTGTGGGTTGCGGGTGTGTGGGTTGCGGGTGTGTGGGTTGCGGGTGTGTGGGTTGCAGGTGTGTGGGTTGCGGGTGTGTGGGTTGCGGGTGTGTGGGTTGCGGGTGTGTGGGTTGCTGGTGTGTGGGTTGCAGGTGTGTGGGTTGCAGCTTCTAGCCAACGGCTTTCTGCACTTTGTGTGCACAGGATACACGGTGACTCCGTTCTTCTCTCGCGTTGTCTTTGCCTTATCTGCCCCTTTGCTTGACACACTCCTGGGTGTGTTCTCTTCTTCTCTTCCTCATCCCGCAACCTCTGTTCTTTTGTTTAGCCAACTCGGATTGGACCTGCCTTGCATACTCTGTGACTGCCTCGCAGCCTTGTTGCTCCTTGCAAGGGCATCAGTCTGCTCTGCTGAGATGACACGTCAATGGAAGGCGACTCACTGCTCTGATCCTCTTGTTAATTTCCCCCCCTCCAGCCGCCCAAAGCAGGTGTCTGACGTGGCACACCAGCAGGAGGTGGTGGCGACGCTCAAGAACGCACTGGCGACTGGCAATGTGAGTGAGAAGGGGATGAGATGGGATGTGATGCGATGAGTTGAGATGAAAGGGGGGATAGAGTATGCAGAGGGTGGTGATGACGCTCAAGAACACTCTGGCGACTGGCAATGTGAGATGGGAGGAGGGGGGTGAGTGAGTGAGTGAGTGAGTGAATGAGTGAGTGAGTGAGGGCAGAGGAAGGGGGCGCGTGTCTGGGGTGGTGGCGGTACTCAACAACTCACTGGCGACTGGCGACTGGCAATGTGAGATTCGATGAGAGCAGGTGGAGGGGAGTGATGAGTGAGTGAGTGAGTGAGTGAGGGAATGGGTGGGTGAGTGAGCGAGTGCGTGAGTGAGCGAGTGAGTGAGCGAGTGAGTTAAGTGAGTGAGTGAGTGAGTGAGTGAGCGAGTGAGTGAGTGAGTGAGTGAGTGAGCGAGTGAGCGAGTGAGTGAGCAAGTGAGTGAGTGAGACCCGGAAGATTGGGAGTGTGGCTGGGGTGGGTGGTGATGACGCGCAAGACACACTGCCTACTGGCAACATGAGAGCGGAGGAGATGAGGGTAGCTGAAGGGGAATGATGAGAGTGAGTGAGTGAGTGAGTGAGTGCTGGGAGGGGAGGGAAGTGGCTTGGGTGGTGACGACACTCAAGAACACTCTGGCGACTGGCAATGTGAGATGGGAAGGAGATGGGATGAGATTAGATGAGGTGAGATGATATGAGGGGTCAGTAGACGAGATGAGATCTGCACTGGCGACTGGCAACGGGGATGCAGATGCGTGTGAGCCCTCTTTCAATTCAAATCCATTCCCCTCCTCTCTCATCTTCTCCATAACTCTCCTCTCCTCCAATTAACCGTTCCCCTGCGCGTCTCCGCACTTCTTCCCCTCTCCCCTCCTCCCTCCAGCTGCCCCATCTGCAGTGCTACGGTCCGCCGGGCACAGGCAAGACGTCCACAGCGCTGGCTATGCAGCACCTTCTCCCATAATGCCCCACCCCCTCACCCCTCCCACCCCTCCAGCTGCACCATCTGCAAATTACGGTCCGCTGGGCACAGGCAAGACGTCCACAGTGCTGGCCTTTAACCACCTCCCACTTTCCATCCCACCCCATCCCGCCCTATTTCCCCTTCCCTTTCCCTTCCCCCGTGCCTCCCAACCCCCCAGCTGCCGCATCTGCTCTTCTATGGGCCGCCCGGAACAGGCAAGACGTCCACAGCGCTGGCTATCACCAAGGAGCTCTTTGGGTGAGACTTGAGCGGTTTTGATTGAACAATGGGTGGTTCTGTGTGGTTCTGTGTGGTTCTGTATGGTTCTGTGTGGTTCTGTGTGCAACCTTGTTTGCCGAACAGGCAAGACGTCCACAGCGCTGGCAATCACGAAGGAGCTCTTTGGGTGAGCTGTAAGCGAGTGAGTGGTTTTGCGGGAACACCAAGTGGGTGCCATGGCTCTATGTGGCTCGCAGCTTTGTGTGTCACCGGGACAAGACGTCCACAATGCTGGCAATCACCAAGGAGCTCTTCGGGTGAGACATGAGAGGGGTGCTGTGAGAATGAGACTTGAGAGGGGTGCTGTGAGAATGAGACATGAGAGGGGTTCTGTGAGAATGAGACATGAGAGGGGTGCTGTGAGAATGAGACATGAGAGGGGTGCTGTGAGAATGAGACATGAGAGGGGTGCTGTGAGAATGAGACATGAGAGGGGTGCTGTGAGAATGAGACATGAGAGGGGTGTTGTGAGAATGAGACATGAGAGGGGTGTTGTGAGAATGAGACATGAGAGGGGTGCTGTGAGAATGAGACATGAGAGGGGTGTTGTGAGAATGAGACATGAGAGGGGTGCTGTGAGAATGAGACATGAGAGGGGTGTTGTGAGAATGAGACATGAGAGGGGTGTTGTCAGAATGAGACATGAGAGGGGTGCTGTGAGAATGAGACATGAGAGGGGTGCTGTGAGAATGAGACATGAGAGGGGTGCTGTGAGAATGAGACATGAGAGGGGTGTTGTGAGAATGAGACATGAGAGGGGTGCTGTGAGAATGAGACATGAGAGGGGTGCTGTGAGAATGAGACATGAGAGGGGTGCTGTGAGAATGAGACATGAGAGGGGTGCTGCACGATTGAGTGGTTCTTTGGAGCCCAACCCATATGCTTGACTGCTTGTGAGTCTGACCGTCAGACTCGTGTCAAGTCAAACTTGCAAGACGTCCTCCCAATTGGCAATCACCAAGGAGCTTTCCGGGTGAGGCATGAGTGTGCTGGTTCTGTGTGAACACGGCTTGGTGCCACGCCTGCCTGCCTGCCTCTATGTGGCTTGCACCGTGTGTGTTGAACGGGCAAGACGTCCACAGCGCTGGCAATCACCAAGGAGCTTTCCGGGTGAGGCATGATAGGTTTTGGCTGTAAGAATGGGTGGTTCTGTGTGGTTCTGTGTGGTCCTGTGTGGTTCTGTGTGCAGCCTTGTGTGTCAAAGCGGCAAGACGTCCACAGCGCTGGCAATCACCAAGGAGCTCTTCGGGTGAGGTGGTAACCGTTTTTGGCATAACGACTGCTTTTGTTGCACCATTTTCCGCCCTCTCCCGTCTCCTATCGCAGCCCTGAGCTCTACCCCTCGCGGGTGTTGGAGATGAATGCGAGTGACGACCGGGGCATGAGTGTGGTGCAACAAAAGCAGCCTTTGTGCCCCAACACCAAGAGAAACCCCACATGAATTCTCCTAGCCTTCTCGTCAGAAAAGACTCCATATCTGTCCATCCTGTACCCATATCCATACCCTGTGCCTTTCCCGTACCACTTCTCCTCCCCAGCCCTGAGCTATACTCGTCCCGGGTGTTGGAGCTGAACGCGAGTGACGACAGGGGCATCAGTGTGGTGCGCACCAAGATCAAGGACTTTGCTGGCGTTGCTGTGGGGCACGGGGTGAGGTGAGCCATGTTGGAGGTACACGCGCGCACTCTCACACACACACATAAACACACATGCACATGCACACACGCACACTCACACACACACACGCTTCATGCACAAAGTTCAATGACTTCGCTGGCGTGGCTGTGGGGCCAAGGGGGCAGGTGAGGTGGAAGGTGAGGGGGAAGGTGAAGGGGCAGGTGAAGGGGCAGGTGAGGGGTGACGTGATGACTAAAGATGCTCCTTGTTTCACTAGCCACCGCCCTTTCCCCTGCTTAACTTACCACACGTTCCCCCCCTTCTCCCCTTTCCTCTTACCCCCTCCCAGTGGCTACCCCTGCCCACCGTTCAAGGTGATAATTCTCGACAAGGCTGATTTCATGACTGAGAGATGCTTGCTGGTGAATTCGCCCACTCCATGACTGAGAGATGCCTGTGGCTGATTTCGTGATTGTCTTGCCTTTTCAAGAATTCGCAAAAGGTGCTCCTCTCCTGCTTACCCATTATCCCACCCCCCTGCACAGTGGCTACCCGTGCCCTCCGTTCAAGGTGATCATTCTTGACGAGGCCAGCTGCTTGACTCAAGATTGTTCTAATGGCCCCTTTCCCCTTGTCCCCCTCTCCCTCCCGACCCCCTCTCAGCGGCTACCCGTGCCCTCCGTTCAAGGTGATCATTCTCGATGAGGCTGATTCCATGACTGAGGATGCTCAGGTGAGGAAATGAGCAGGGGGGGGGGAGGGAGGGAGGGAAGGGGGGTCGGAAGAGGAAAAGGGTGATCATTCTCGTCGAAGCCTATTCCATGACGGAGGATGCGCAGGTGTGTTGCGATGGGGGAGGGGGCGAGAAAGGATGAGGGCAAAGGGAGTGGGGGAGAGGGAGCGAGGTAGAGGAAAGAGAGGAGAGGGAGGGGGGAAAAGAGGGGGGAAAACGCGTGAGGGTGAGAGTGTTATTCGGAGTTGGACGGGTCAGAGTGGTTAGGTTAGAATGGGGATTAAGAGGTGGCAGGGGGTAGAATGGGGCGGAATGGTTGGTATGGGTTGTGATAAATCAGAGTGGATGCAAAATAGCTTGCTGAATATGGTGCGTGTCATCTTTAAACATAATCATTTAAAAGTACCAGTTGCGAAGTCAGTCTTTTCTCCACTCCCCTCCTCAGTTCTCTCTCCCTTGCCCTCCCTTCGCCTCCTCTCCTCTCCCCTCGTCTCCTCTCCTCTCTTCTCCTGTCCTCTCCTCTACTCTCCTCGCCTCTCCTCACCATTTCTCTCGTCACCTCCCCTCTGTCCGCTGTTTCCCTCTCCTATCCCCTTCTCTCCTCCCCTCACCTCCTCTCCTCACCTCTCTTATCTCCCCTCACCTCCACTCCTCACCTCTCTTCTTCCCTCCTCTCCTCTCCTTACCTCTGTCTTCTCCCCTCCCCTCCTCTCCTCGCCTCTCTTCTCACCTCACCCCTCCCTCCCTCTCCTCCCCCCCCTCTCCTCTCCTCTCCTCTCCTCTCTTCCCCCCCTTTATCATCTCCTCTCATCTCCTCTCCTCTCATCTACTATCTTCTACTCTCCTATCCCCTCCTCTCCTCTCCGCTCCTCTCCTCTCCGCTCCTCTCCTCTCCGCTCCTCTCCTCTCCTCTCCTCTCCTCTCCACTCCTCTCCTCTCCGCTCCTCTCCTCTCCTCTCCTCTCCTCTCCTCTCCTCTCCACTCCTCTCCTCCAATCAGAACGCTCTTCGCCGAACCATGGAGCTCCACTCGCGCGTCACAAGATTTGTCTTCATCTGCAATTACATCAGCAGGTAACTCATTTCCTTGGTGGGCAAGGGTTGTCCGTTTCTGCTATCCATAAATTTTTATGCATCAGGCCAACGGTGAGAAGAAGAAGAAAAACTTGTGAGTGTCGGACATGCTTGCATTTTGGCGGATTAAGAACCTGCTCTGTGCTTTACTCTGGCGGAACACCTGTTGTTCTTCGATGGTGTTAATACTTAATATGAGAACGTGTGCAGGATTGACTTTTGACAAAAGTCACCTTGTGAGTACTTAACTTGAGAACGTGCGCTGGAGTGTCCAATGTTCTTCCATACTGGAGAGTCTACAATCTGTCATTCATATTGTGTTCTTCTTGCTCTGTGCTGCCCGTTCACTGCCCTAAACTTGTACCATGTCTCCTCGAACCGTGCTCTCCACCAACTCACATCAGAATCATCACTCAGCAACAGGTGTTCGCTTTGTGGCGTCTAAAAAATGTATTCCCTTCTCTCTCCTCCCCTCCTGCCCTCCGCCGATGCGCGTCAGAATCATCGAGCCGCTGGCCTCACGATGTGCCAAGTTCCGATTCCGGCCGCTGGTGGGGCAGGTGATGACTGACAGGCTCAGACACATTGCGGACTGCGAACACCTCAAGCTCTCAGAGGAGGTAAGCTGCACTCTGCGTTCATGCATTGCTGGTACCTTGCACTTGAGGTTGGCTGCTGCTGGGCCAGGTGATGTCTGATCTGACCAGCTGAGACAGCCAACTGCGAACACCTAACACTGTTAGAGGAGGTGAGGCGAGGTGGGCTGCGGTGGGTTGAGGTGGGGTGAGGTGCTGGTGGAACAGGTGATGATTGGCAGGCCCCGCCATATCGCCGACTGTGAACACGTAACGCTTTCGGATTCGAGGGTGGGTTGGTGGTGGGGCAAGAGGGTGACTGACAGGCTCAGACACACAGTGGAGTGCAAACATTGTGCTCCCATAAGATCTGGACTCTTGAGATGTCTCAAAAATCTACTTTCTACAGATGAGGGTTTGCCTGCCAGGTGGGCTTCTGGGCTGTTGGGCTGTTGGGCTGCTGGGCTGGCACAAAGGTAATTGATAAACCAGACAAAAGGTGAAATGGAATCATCACAGTCCCATTCAACCTGGACTCTCAATACAGCTGACTGCCTCCCGGGTGAGCGTTGTTGGGGAGAAGATATGACTGACAGGCTCAGAGTAGGGAGGAAAAAAATAATAAAACACGTAGGGGGGGGTGTGAAGATAATGCCAGGGTAGGGTAGAAGGAATAAGTGGTAGATATGTAAATGCACAAAAGACTGCCTCAGCAGAGGATTGAACTCTGGACCTTTCGCTTACGAAGCGAACGCACTACCACTGTGCTACTGGGGCTGTGAACTTCGGCATGTATAAAATATCATAGCCAGGTGTCTTTTTTCCCTGTCACATTCCGTCTGTCGCGTATGCTGCAGGCCTTTGAGGCTCTGAGCCAAGTGTCGGAGGGCGATCTCAGGCGAGCCATCACAACGCTGCAGGTAGGTGTGGTGTGGGTGTGCAGAAGGGAGGGATTATATGAGATGTTTGCATGATTGCGTGAGAATTTTGATGATTTGAGAAGTCTTCAAACTTGACAAGAGCTGGGAATTGGATGTCAGAGGGCGATCGCAGGCGAGCCATCACGACCCTGCAGGTGGGTGCAGGGTAGAGGAGTGGAGTGGGGTGGAGTGGAGGAGGGATGGTGTGCTCGTGATGGTGTCACGGCTCACGACTTGACATGAGCTGGGAATTGGGTGTCAGAGGGTGAATTCAGGCATCGCTAATATCACTCTGACCGTCCCTTCCCTGTCTCGTGTCTCTTCTGCCCTGCCACCTCTCCCATCCTCCCACCGCGCCCTGCTTGATCGCAGAGTGCTGCCAGGCTGTACGGCTCATCCATCTCAGCGCAACACATCATTGAAGTGTCAGGGGTACGTAATCATGCAGTTCTTTTTGCTATTGTTTCGACGCGTAATCATACGCGCCGAAATACTTCCCTACCACGGTGTTGCTGGATGTGTCAAGCAAACGGAAGTGGGTTGAAGAAAAGAAAGGAAACAATAGAATCGGGATCCAACCAGAATTGACAGATTTACACCCACACAGCAGATTGGCAAGTTTATATATAATATAGCACATGTTTGTTAACAGCCTCATTCCACCAGTTCATACCTGCCTCAGATGTCACCTTCCCTTGATAAATCTGCCTTCTTTGGCGTGTACTCTCCTCCACACTTTCTTCCTTCTTCCCCTCCTCCCTTCTTTCCTCCCATCCTCCCCATCTGTCACCTTCCTTTTCACACTGCATTCTTTCTGCTGGTCTCCTCTCTCTCGCCATGCAGATCATGACTGCATCAGTTGTCACCCATTGCAAGTAATTTTCCTTGTCCCGGTTTTTTTCCCATTCACCCACCATTTCTCCCTCGCCCTTTGTGTGCAGGTGGTGCCTGCCTCAGTTGTCACCTCCATCCTCGAGGCCTGCAGGGGAGGTGCTTTTGAAGCTGTTCAGTCTGCTGTCACTGCTGCTGTTGCTGACGGTTACCCTGCTGCGCAAATACTCTCCCAGGTACCACAATTCAAAGGTTACAAGATTACCAGAATTCTCATCTCCGCGTGTTACAAAATTGCCACCACTTTCTTTGCTGCCAGTCTGCCATCACTGCTGCTGTTGCTGACGGTTACCCGCTGCACAAATACTTTCCCAGGTACCACATTTTCAAAGGTTACAAGGGTACCAGAATTTACATCTTCATGTGTTACAAAGTTACCGCCACTTTCTTTGCTGCCAGTCTGCCGTCACTGCTGCTGTTGCTGACGGTTACCCGCTGCACAAATACTTTCCCAGGTACCACATTTTCAAAGGTTACAAGGGTACCAGAATTTACATCTTCATGTGTTACAAAGTTACCGCCACTTTCTTTGCTGCCAGTCTGCCATCACTGCTGCTGTTGCTGACGGTTACCCCGCTGCACAAATACTCTCCCAGGTATCACAATGTAGGGTTACCATTGGTTTATTCGCGGCTGTCGAGTCTGCTCCACCAAAGCATTTGCCTCTTTTGAGTCTCCTCTGCTGTCACTGCTGCTATTGCCGACGGTAACCCTGCCGCGCAAATACTCTCTCAGGTGTTACGAATTTACATTATAGTGTAGCCTACAACCACGGTGGCCTCAATCCACGTGACTGTCACCACTGCTGCTGCTGATGGCTACCCTGCTGCGCAAATGCTTTCCCAGGTAATACAGCTTCTCGAGTTACTACCTATTAAGGTTACACAGTAATGCTGCCACCACCCTTTTCACCACAAGGTGATGTTACCACCACCACTGTCTCTGCGGTCTTCCAGTCTATCGTCACTGCTGCTATTGCTAGCGTGACGTTAACCCAGGCATGAGGAGGAGCACGGCACTCCCGCCAACAGCAGCACCAGCCACGCGAAAAACAGCAGAAGGCGAGCCATGTGCTGCTGTTCGCGTTGCCGGTGCTGCTGTTGGCGGGAGTGCCATGCTCCTCCTCATGCCTGGTGCACAAATCCTCTCCCAGGTACTACAAAGACGCTCACCTGCTCTGCAAAGGCAGCTCTCACTTCACAATTCCTCTTGTTTTCACTAGCCATGTCCCCCTCCCGCCTCTCTTTTTCTCTCTCTCTTCCATGCAGCTGCCTCTGCATGCAGCGTCACCACCCACTGATTTATTAGGCGCCTCAAGACTTGTCTCTCTCTTCCATCCAGCTACCTCTGAATGCGGAATTCAAGGCTGTCCGTTTCTTTTTCTCATCTCAGTATCGTACCCCCCACCTTCCACTTTCCCTTGGCATACCCATTGGTCTTACTTCCCTTCCAGCTATTTGATGCAGCCACGGCAGCAGACGACCTCACAGACGAGCAGAAGGCGCGCATCTGTGCCACCATTGCTGCTGCTGACAAGGTAACTGCGTCGCTTGGACCTTGTACGCCCTATAAGGTGCTGCGTGCCTGTAATAGAGTACCTTGCAGGCAAGGTACTGTGCATGTAGAAGACCCGCATCTGTGCCACGATTGCCGCCGCCGGCAACAGAACTCAGTGCCAGGGGTATCGTCCGTAGTGTGCCTGTGGGAATGTGTATGCCCTTTCAGGTGCTTCATTTGCAAAAGGCGCACATTCGTGCCACCATTGTTGCCGCTGACAAGGTTAATGCTGCACCCCTGGGAGTCGGGACCTTGTACTCCCTATAAGGTTTGTGCGTCCCTATATGAAAGTACCTTACAAGGTACTTCTTCAGCAGAAAACAAGAGTCTCTGCCACCATCCATCACCGCCGCTGACAGGGTAATTGCGGCCATGGGGTAGCGTTAATATTGTGAGTGTGGGAATATGTACTCGTTACAAGGTGGTGCTGTGTTTGTAGAAGGCGCGCATGTGTGCCATCATTGCCACCGCTGACAAGCTACCTGTCCCCCTGGGGTATTGTACACCCTATAAGCTGCTTCGTGCCTATATTAGAGTACCTTACAAGGTACTTCGTCTGTAGAAGGCTGAACGGCATGTGTGCCACCATTGCCGCCCCGCCGCTGACAATGTAGTGCGTTGCGTGCGATCTTGTATGCCCTACAAGGTGCTTCATTTGCAAAAGGCGCGCATGTGTGCCACCATTGCCGCCGCTGACAATGTGTTGCATGCCTGCGGCATCGTCTGTAGTGTGCCTGTGGGAATCTGTACCCCTTACAAGGTGTTGCGTTTGCAGAAGGCGCACATCTGTGCCACCATTGCAACCACCGACAAAGTACCTTGCGCCTGGGATAATTTACGCATTACAAGGTGCTTTTTTCTGGGATCGTTTACACCTTTTCAAGGTACACTTCCCCTGGGAAACTCTAGACTTTAAAAGTCCTGCGCTTGGAATTTTTGCACACCTTACAAGGTACTGTGCCCCTTTACAATACACACCCATGGTCGTAATTTTTCCCTTTTCCTCGTCTTCCTTCTTGTGTTTTCTGTTATCTCCATGCCTCGCCCTTGTCCCCCGGTCATGCTTGATTCTGAATCTGGGTGTTGGAGTGAAGTAGAGGAGTGGCTTCAGCTGCTGCATGTGGTCAGCCGCATTTTGAGGCGCCTCAAATTTTGAGTCAATTTTTTAGGCGCCTCAAAAGGGCTTCAGCTGCTGCATGTGGTCAGCCGCATTTTGATGTGCCTCAAATTTTGAGTCGATTTTTTAGGCGCCTCAAAAGGGCTTCAGCTGCTGCATGTGGTCAGCTGCATCTTCAATAATTCTCCAAAATCAGGTTCACATCAGGAGCCACGTCTGGAACCATCACATGCTTTATAGTACAAACATTCTTCAAGTTAATACCTGGAGGAAAGGGCATGGCGCGTCGTCCCAGATCCAGTGATTCCTCCTGCCCTTTGGCATGTGGCGCCGTCCCCTTCTCTGAGATGGTAGCTGCGTCTTTCTTACGGAGAAGCTGCTGCATGTCAGCCAAATCGAGCCTCAACCTCGTAATCTCTACCTTAAGCTCGTGGTCACTTTGTGATAGCGCCTGAAGGAACAAGAGAGCCAGAAACATTATCATATTGCGACTGATCTGTACCGTCCTATGCATCAGCTGAAAAGAATTCATACCTTCATATTCTTTAAGATATGGATTCTTTTCAGCTGATGCATAGAACCGGACAGGTCAGTCGCGATTTGATAATGTTTCTGGCTCTTTCGTCTTCTTCAGGCGCTATCGCTAAGTGACCACGAGCTTAAGGTAGAGATTACGAGGTTGAGGCTCGAGTTGGCTGACATGCAGCAGCTTCTCCGTAAGAAAGACGCAGCTACCATCTCAGAGAAGGGGACGGCGCCACATGCCAAAGGGCAGGGAGAATCATTGGCTCTGGGTCGACGCGCCATGCCCTTCCTTCTTGGTAATAACTAGAAAAATGTTTGTACTATAAAGCATGTGATGGTTCCGGACGTGGCTCCTGACGTTGTCAGCAGCATCTGTGCCAATCTGCTGCCTGAACAGCATCACGGACGAAGAAAGCCAATCATACCCCCAAATGTCTTCTCATTCCTGCTTGCCTTGTGCCACTGCCATTCTTGGTTCCGAATCTGGTGCATGGAGTAGACGAGTGGGTTCAGTTGGTGTATGGGGCAGAAGCATCTTCCAACCTGCTGCTTGAACGGCATCACGGAACAACAAGCCCGTTTTTTTGTCGCCTTTGTTGACTTTTGAGGAGCCTCAAAAGGCACCACGGACAAACAAGCCCGTTATTTAGTCGACGTTGTTGACTCTGTTGCAGCATCTTCTGCCTGCCTTGCAGCATCTTCTGCCTTGCAGCATCTTCTGCCTTGCAGCATCTTCTGCCTTGCAGCATCTTCTGCCTTGCTGTCTGAACAGCATCAGGGACTTACAAACCGTAGCTTGCCCTCTTCTCCTCCCCATTCCCATGTTCCTGGTGTCGCTATCATGCCGGCCCTTATTTCAGAATCAGGTGGGTGGTGCAAACGAATTGCTTCAGCTGTTGGATGTGTTTTGCAGAATCGTCCCCCAGCTGCCTGGGCAAAATCAGGGACAAAGGCCTAGCTTAACACCTTCTTCTCCCCATTCCCTCCTTCCTTGTTCCACTGTCTGCGGTGCTGATACTTGCTTCAGAATCTGGTGGATGGGGCGGACGAGTGGCTTCAGCTGCTGCTGGTGCCTTGCAGGCTCTTCCCATGCTGCTGCCTGAACAGCATAAAGGACTGACAAGCCCTAGCTTAAGCTCTCCTTCCTCCCTTTTCTCTGCTCCCTGTGCCACTCTCCGTACTATTACTTGCTTCAGAATCTGGTGGATGGGGCGGACGAGTGGCTTCAGCTGCTGGACGTTGCAAGCAGCACCATGAGAGCCGTGCACAACATGCCGGTCTCGGCTTCCTTTGCCACTTGATGGTTTAGCTCACCCACGGCTGCTGCTCTGGGGGGGAGGTGGCGGGGACAGGGGGAGAAGGTGAAAGGGTGGCGTGAGTCGGCCGGCATCACCAGCACCCGCGTCCATCCTCTCTCCCGGCCGCGCCTGCTGCCGTGGGGGGGAGGGTGAGGGGGTGGAGGGGGTGTCCAGATAGCCAACAGCAACTGCCTCTCCTTCTCCTCCTCCTCTCCCTTTCACTGCACATGTTCTCTCTTCTCCTCCTCCTCTGTTTTCTCTTGACCATCGTACAACAAGTCGCCGCCTTAGGTTCCGTCGTTTCTGGACATGTTCGCCCCCCTTCGCGCACACCAGGCACCTGCTGCCGGGGTTCAACTGCAGCCGGGCACCTGCCGTGGGGGTTCAACCACGCTGGTTCAAACTGCTGCTTGGTGACTGTGCCTCTATGAGAGACTGCCCCTCACTAGCTAGTCTTGCATGCAATTAAGGAGGGATGTTAGAATTGTTTCTATATGCATGCAGACAGTTAGTGTAGTATCATCGTGGAATTCTATCTGTTTGTGGTGTACTTCCTGGCAATCTTTTCTTGCTCTATATCTTGTACGGTACCTCTTTCAATTCCAGTACTGAACCGCTCTTTTTCCAACCTCACTTCCCAAACTCTCTTGATAGCCATGCCTGGTCTAAACCCTAGCATGGCTCCACGTTCTAGACCGTTTCTTGACAGTAGTATCCAGCCAATACAGGATGCATTTTCTGTATATAGAATCCCAATTTATTTGTAGTACGGTAACTCAGGAAGGACTTCCCACTCTCTGCCCTTGCAACAACATCGGCACTTCAACAAGGAGGTTCTAATTCTGGTGTGTCACTGTCAACATCATCCTCACAAAGAGCAGAAAGCCAGACATCTAGCATGGCGAGCGTGACTGGCCAAGAGTAATGCGTGCTGTCAGTGCACCTGTCACCTCTAGGAAGGGTTAACGCTTGAAGGTCGATGAAATGCCCAAACTTTGTCTCATCAGACACCCTGAAGACAGAATGGGAGCAACACAGCAGGAAAAGAACACATTCAGTCAGGCCTGAACAAAGGAGTATGAACACCTCAGTCTTGTTAGTTCTAGGTCTCTCACCTGGCTACATGGTCATCGAACGTGAACCCTCTGACGTTGTTGCTCTTATGGAGATATCTCTGCGGCTTCTTCTTCTCTTGCGCTGCCCAGATACCAAAGAAGGTGACCCCGCCCGGATCACGAACCACTGACTGGAGTGAAGGCAGAAACACCGACTCTGCAGCATTGGTAGGGAGGGAGAGGTTGGGCATAAGAGGGACAGGTTGGGCATAAGAGGGACAGGTTGGGCATAAGAGGGACAGGTTGGGCATAAGAGGGACAGGTTGGGCATAAGAGAGACAGGTTGGGCATAAGAGCTGTTTAAAATTGGCCATGCTTGAAGTGTGGTAATTGCAACAAAGCCTGAACAAAGATAGAGAGGGCGCATAAGGGCAAGATAGAAGGGCAAGATAGAAGGGCAAGATAGAAGGGCAAGATAGAAGAGGGAGGGACTCACTGAACGCCTCTGCCATCTCCGATGCATTGCTCTTGCGTCCAATCGAGCCCCAGTTAGGAGCCATGGTTCAATACGTGGCAGGGCAGCAAGTAGTTAGTTAGGACACGTGGGTAGGTTAGTGCGTTGTGAAGAGTGACTCACTGAACGCCTGTGCCATCTCCGATGCATTGCTCTTGTGTGTGATGTCATGCAGGCCAAAGGACGCTGCCACTACGTCAAATGGAGCAAAGTGAGTGACGATGGGGCCGCCTGTGAGGTTGCGGGCGGAGCGCCAGTCGTCAAAGACAGGGGCATCTGAGTCCAGGTGCGTGGCATAGGTGAGGTTGAAGGTGAACGCACGGCCGCGGCGCCGCACTGGATGCACGATCACCCTGTTGTTGCCGGGCAGGGCAGCAGGGGAGGGGAGAGGCACGCTGTGGCAGAGGCAAGCAGCAGTGTATGAGAGGCAAGCAGCAGTGTGTGAGAGGCAAGCAGCAGTGTGTGAGAGGCACAGGCACTGCTGGGGGAGGCACAACTCTCACTGAGGCACTCACTGCTGCAGGGCGAAGCACTCACTGCTGCAGGGCGAAGCACTCACTGCTGCAGGGCGAAGCCGCTCCAGAAGTTACCCCAGTAGGTGGTGTGGCCGCAGTAGGTGCTGTAGTTGACAGCAAAGGCCATGCCACTGCTGGGGTCCAGTGGCGGGCCCTCCTTGAACACCACGTTCCTCACGCGCACCCGGTGCACCTCCTGCCACTCGGTGAGTGAAGAGCAGGAGAGGAAATGGATGGAAAGCTGAGAGCGGGAGAGGTGTGGGATGAGATCTGAGCACCGTTAGCGGATATGAGCACCACGTTCCTCTACATCAAACGGTTTCCCTCGCCCTCCTTGACCACCACGTTCCTCCCCCGCACTCGGTGCACCTCCTGCCACTCGCCCCGCCACCACGCAGGCCAACAGGGGGGTGTCAAGAACACCCATGGCGTGGAGGGCAGGATGGGGGGAGAGTCGAGAGGCGGAATGTATGAGAGTTGAGGGGGAGAGGCGTCGGATGAAAGCTGAACATGTGTAGCGGATCACAGCACACCAAACGGTTTCCTCACCACAGGCCTCCCCCACCACCTCACCCTGACCTGCCCGCACCACCTCACCCTGACCTGCCCCCACCACCTCACCCTGACCTGCCCCCACCACCTCACCCTGACCTGCCCCCACCACCTCACCCTGACCTGCCCGCACCACCTCACCCTGGGCTGGCGGCGGTAGCGCCTGAGGTAGCGGCAGCGCGTGCGGTAGTGCAGGAACATCTGCAGGTGGCCAAACAGGTACCGCATCTCCGAGTCCCCTGCCATGCACATTGCACACACACGTGCAGCGCAGCAGCGGGCAGGTGAAGCACACGTGCAGCAGCAGACTTTTAAGACGTCTCAAGATCATCTCCGAGTCCCCTGCACTGCACACGTGCAGCAGCGGGCAGGCAGGCGGCGGTGGCTCACAGCGCGGTGCCGTGACAGACTTGAGTGGCACTGGCACGTCACGAGTGCATCCACACCCACAGCCACAGCCACAGCCACACCCACACCCACACCCACACTCACACCCACACCCACACTCACACCCACACCCACACCCACACCCACACCCACACCCACACCCACACCCACACCCACACCCACACCCACCCACACCCACACCCACACCCACACCCACACCCACACCCACACCCACACCCACACCCACACCCACACCCACACCCACACCCACCCACACCCACACCCACACCCACACCACACCCACACCCACAGCCACAGCCACAGCCACAGCCACAGCCACACTCGCCACTACACAGCCCAGACGTGACTCATGCACGCACGCACATGCATGCATGGTACAGGCATTGTGCATGCACGGATGCATGGGTGCAGGACACGAGTAAATGCCTATGGCTTTCCCGAAGCCAGCTGCCTGCATGGTACAGGCTCTGTGCATGACACGACACGACATGGAGCAGGACACAGCAGCAGGTGGGGTGTGGGTGGGCAGGAGGCGAGACCTAGAATGAGGACACAGCAGGTGGGGGTGGGCAGGCAGCACCCAATGCGTGCGGGCGACTTATGCGTGGGGGTGGGAATGAGGGCAGGGGGCGAGACCTAGAATGAGGGCAGGAGGCGAGACCTAGAATGAGGGCAGGAGGCGAGACCTAGAATGAGGGCAGGAGGCGAGACCTAGAATGAGGGCAGGAGGCGAGACCTAGAATGAGGGCAGGAGGCGAGACCTAGAATGAGGGCAGGAGGCGAGACCTAGAATGAGGGCAGGAGGCGAGACCTAGAATGAGGGCAGGAGGCGAGACCTAGAATGAGGGCAGGAGGCGAGACCTAGAATGAGGGCAGGAGGCGAGACCTAGAATGAGGGCAGGAGGCGAGACCTAGAATGAGGGCAGGAGGCGAGACCTAGAATGAGGGACGCTCTTGCCGTGCAGATGTTTCTGCACTTCCGCACGTGATACCTAGAATGAGGACATGTGCAGGTTGCCATACCTAGAATGAGGACGCTCTTGCCGTGCAGGCAGCGCCCAATGCGTGCGGGCGTGATGGGGGCAGGCAGGCGGCAGGCCGCGGGGTACCACGTGTCTCCCCGCCAGAAGCCCACATGCCGTGACTCGCGCAGCAGACTGAATGTGCACCGCGGCAGGCTCTGCTCCTTGCTGCCACGCCGCACACACACAGCAGGGAGGGGCGGGGGGGCACAGTGGCACACAGCAGGGAGGGGTGGGGGGGCACACAGCAGGGAGGGGCGGGCACGGACGGACCCGTGTGGGTTGGGAAACGAGTACACACCACCGAGTGTGTATGTGTGGATGACGAAAGAAGGCACATTCAGAGGCGGGAGGGACGAAGGGAAGTGGGGTGGGTGGAGACAGAAAGGTTGAAGGGCGGGAATGCAGGGACGCGAACAGGGCATCTGCCACAAGCAGCGCATGGCATGGAGGGCAGTGCAGCGCATGGCATGGAGGGAAGTGCAGCGCATGGCGTGGAGGGCAGTGCAGCGCATGGCATGGAGGGCAGTGCAGCGCATGGCATGGAGGGCAGTGCAGCGCATGGCATGGAGGGCAGTGCAGCGCATGGCATGGAGGGCAGTGCAGCGCATGGCATGCGCACCTCATTTGGGTCGAATTCGTCCCGTTCTCCAAGGCATGGAGGGCGGTGGCGGCAGCAACGGTGATGTTGCGTTGAGCCACGACCTTGGACCTGCGAGCGACGTGCAGCAGTGGTCAGCACAGTTGCAAGAGGGCGGACGCTCGCAGCTTAGTTGAGAAAGACGCACGGCGGACGCTGCGTCCTGCGTCTGGACGCATGGACGCAGGACGCGCGTCCAGACGCAGGACGCACGGCGATTTTTTTTCGGGCAGACCGAAAAAAAATCGATTTCGCGATTCGCGATTTCGACGCCAATGTTAGATCCACGAAATCGTAACTCCATGGGAGCCATGTCGCCAAGCAAAATCGCGAAGGAATGGGAGCGATTTTGCTAAGTTTGCACTGCAAAATCGCTAACAAACCATTTTTCCCCCAACCACCACACATTACCGCACTGCAACTCCCCCCCCCAACCTTGTCGACCTGAACGCAATGTAAGAAGAGAATCAGGTCGACAATTAGAGCTTTCTCTCCTAGTCGACCTGATTCTCTTTCGGAAACCCTAAATCTCGATTTAACTATGTGTGTGGAAATTTGGTGTTTAGGGAAGGTTTTAAGGATAATCCATGTTCAATGTGGTTGCAATGTCCTGAAACCCCCTCTCCCCCCCTCCTAGACGGCTTTTTCGCCTGCCCGGGGGTTTTTTTACCCTGCCCGGGCATGCGTCTTTTGTAGCGTCTCCCAGGCCCTAGTGCAGCGTCCTGCGTCTAAGACGCTGCGTCTGGACGCACGCGTCTAAGACGCAGGACGCGTCTTTCGCAACGAAGGCTCGCAGCACAGGTGGTTCAAGGCGCAGCACAGGTGGTTCATTCAAGGCGCAGCACAGGTGGTCCATTCAAGACACAGCACAGGTGGTTCATTCAAGGCACAGCACAGGTGGTTCATTCAAGGCACAGCACAGGTGGTTCATTCAAGGCACAGCACAGGTGGTTCATACAAGACACAGCACAGGTGGTTCATTCAAGGCACAGCAGGGCATGGGGAGGAGAGGGCGGGCGCTCGGCAGGCAGCGGCACGGCAGGCAGTGGCACGGCAGGCAGTGGCACGGCAGGCAGCGGCACGGCAGGCAGTGGCACGGCAGGCAGTGGCACGGCAGGCAGTGGCACGGCAGGCAGTGGCACGGCAGGCAGTGGCACGGCAGGCAGTGGCATGGCAGGCAGTGGCACGGCAAGCAGTGGCACGGCAGGCAGTTGCACGGGCAGTGGCACGGCAGGCAGTGGCACGGCAGGCAGCGGCACGGCAGGCAGTGGCACGGCAGGCAGTGGCACGGCAGGCAGTGGCACGGCAGGCAGTGGCACGGCAGGCAGTGGCACGGCAGGCAGTGGCACGGCAGGCAGCGGCACGGCAGGCAGTGGCACGGCAGGCAGCGGCACGGCAGGCAGCGGCACGGCAGGCAGTGGCACGGCAGGCAGCGGGACGGCACCTGAAGAAGCCGGAGGCGAGTTTGGGGTTGACACTCTCGCGCAGCAAGAAGGCGTTGGTCCATGGCAGCGCCACCACCACCTCGTACACCCCACCGCACTGCACCGTGTAGCACACCTGCTCGTGGCGTGGCCCCACACGCGGGCGCACACAGATTGATGGGTGTATGTGGTGGGTGATCAAGAGGCAGTGGCAGGGCGCAGCAGCAAAGGGGTGAGGGTGTGCCGTGCAGTGCAGTGCACACACCATACATTGCTGGCATGGCAGTGCGCGCATGGCACTGCACACACCATACGTTGCTGGCATGGCATTGCGCGCATGGCACTGCACACACCATACACGCGCTTTGCAGTGGCATGATTCGAGGTGGGACACGAAGTGTGCAGCAGGAGTGTGTGGGACACGCAGTGTGCAGCAGGAGTGTGTGGGACACGCAGTGTGCAGCAGGAGTGTGTGGGACACGCAGTGTGCAGCAGGAGTGTGTGGGACACGCAGTGTGCAGGTGGGGGTGCCAAGAGCAGTTGGGGCACGGAAGCAGGGGTGGGGGGGGGAGCACCCACCTGGTGCGAGGTGGACTCGGGCAGGTACTGCATTCGCGACGCCTTTTAAGGCGCTTCAATGTCGGCAGCAGGGGTGGGTGGCGGGAGGGGAGGGGAGGGGAGGGGAGCGCCCACCTGGTGCGAGCTGGACTCGGGCAGGTACTGCACTCGCGACGCCTTTTAAGGCGCTTCAATGTCGGCAGCAGGGGTGGCGGGAGGGGAGGGGAGGGGAGGGGAGCGCCCACCTGGTGCGAGCTGGACTCGGGCAGGTACTGCACTCGCGACGCCTGCACTTCTTCAGCCACTGCCTCGTCCGACGCGGAGTCGTCCCCGTCGCTGGTGGCAACGCGGCGCATGCGAACCACTAAGAAGGCGCGCTGCCTGCCCGCCCGCACACGCACGCCCCGCACACGCATGCAACGCACACACATGCCCCGCGCACGCAAGGCAAGACATGCAGGAGAAGGTGGGTTGGCATGGCATAAGGCGGACATCATATCCCCAAGACAGACCATCTGTGACCCGCCCCACCCCACAGCTGCCAGGCCACTAGCGGCAAGGCCACTAGCGGCAAGGCCACTAGCAGCAAGGCCACTAGCGGCAAGGCCGTGCGCGCATGGACCAGAGCATGAATAGAGAAGGAAAGTTGGATGATAGACGAGGTGAGTCGTACCTACAACCACGGTCGAATCGCCCGCCTTGGACATCAAAAGCTGCACGGGAGGGATGCACAAGCCGGTAACACAACATGGCAGCACGTGCGGCAGTGCAGCGAGTCAGAACAGATCAGGGGCGGCAAGCATCGCCAGCAGGGAACACCTAGAGTGTGACGCACAGCACAGCGCGGCTGAGAGACCGCAGTTTTGAGTCGACTCAAAACAGCGGCAGGCATCGCCGGCAGGGAACACCGAGAGTGTGACGCACAGCGCGGCTGAGAGAGCGCAGGCAGCGGAAGGTGGTATTGGACGCACAGGATGGAACACAGTGGTATTGGACGCACAGGATGGAACACAGCGGTATTAGACGCACAGGATGGAACACAGCGGTATTGGACGCACAGGATGGAACACAGCGGTATTGGACGCACAGGATGGAACACAGCAGTATTGGACGCACAGGATGGGACACAGTGGTATTGGACGCACAGGATGGGACACAGTGGTATTGGACGCACAGGATGGGACACAGTGGTATTGGACGCACAGGATGGGACACAGTGGTATTGGACGCACAGGATGGGACACAGTGGTATTGGACGCACAGGATGGGACACAGTGGTATTGGACGCACAGGATGGGACACAGTGGTATTGGACGCACAGGATGGGACACAGTGGTATTGGACGCACAGGATGGGACACAGTGGTATTGGACGCACAGGATGGGACACAGTGGTATTGGACGCACAGGATGGGACACAGTGGTATTGGACGCACAGGATGGGACACAGTGGTATTGGACGCACAGGATGGGACACAGTGGTATTGGACGCACAGGATGGGACACAGTGGTATTGGACGCACAGGATGGGACACAGTGGTATTGGATGCACAGGATGGGACACAGTGGTATTGGACGCACAAGATGGAACATAGTGGATGCTGTAGCCGCACGTTGGCTTCGATTCGACTCAAAAGTCATCTCGGATGCTGTAGCCGCACCTTGTATTCAGAAGCACGCGTGCGATGAGACGTGATAAAAGAGAGTTTCTGAGGGTTTGAGGTTTAAGGTTCCTGAGAAACTCTCTTTCATCACGAGGAGCACACTGGATGCTGTGGCCTCACCGCACCTTGGATTTGGAAGCACGCGGGCTGGAATGGCGTGGCGGGGCCATCCCACCCGCCGCCGCTGATGTTGACGTGCGAGAACTCTAACTCGGCGAGATCCAATCCTTCTTCTGCGGAGGCATGCGTGCCATCGTAAGCGCCGGCTTGACTGCAGATGTTGTTGGGGTCGAAGGAGGAAAGCGACGCGGACGCGGACGCGGACGGGGAAGAAGACGCGCTGGTGCTGCTGCTGCTAGGTGCTGAACCCGCAGCGTCGTGAACAATGCCGCCTAGCAAACCCCGTGGCGCGCTGGGTGATTTGAAATCGGCCCGGACCGGGGAACTAGAAGCAACAGTAGAGGTAGGAGAAGCGACGGTGAAAATGGAGCTGGAGAAGACCCATATTCGGCAGACGAGGAGGGCGCAGACGAGGACACAGAGACAAGAGAGCGCAATTCGACGAGAGAGAGCCATGATGGCATCGGAGTCGGCCGGCTGTGGTCAGCTGGGCGCGCTGCAGGTGGGGTACGCTGCAAGCAGGCGGTGCGTATGAGTAGGGGGGACTGCTGGCGGCTGATTCGTGCTGGCAGCTGATTCGTGCTGGCGGCTGATTCGTGCTGGCAGCTGATTCGTGCTGGCAGCTGATTCGTGCTGGCAGCTGATTCGTGCTGGCAGTTAGCTGTACCGGCGGCTGCTAGCGCTACTGTGAGCGGCGCTAGCGGCGGGAGCAGTGCTGCGCGTGGCGGGCGGGCGGTGGTAGCCGGCGCGCGCTGGCGACTGGCGTGCGTGCGGATGATGCCGTGCGCTGCAGTGCGTGCGCTGCGCGTGCGGCTACTGGCTGCGCGTGGCGCGCGCTCTACTGCGTGCGCGCGGAGGCTTCGCGCGCGCGGCTACTGCTGGCGCGTCGCGCGCGGGCTGCATGCGGGCTGTGCGCTGGGTACGCGTGGGTGCAGACTACGCGCGCGTGGGTGCAGGCTGGCGCTCGCGGGGCGCGCTGCCTGTGGGCAATTGGCTGGCTGGCGAGGGAGCTGGCTGGCTGACGAGGTAATCGACTGGATGGCTGGCTAGGAGGTAAAAGGAGACAGTCTAAAGCCTAGGAACGAGCCTATATGATGATACCATCTCAAGAGTAGGTAGCGGAACAAATTGAGCAGGAGATCGGGTACAAGTAGGAATGTTAGAAACTACGTACCCTTTCTTAAATACCTCACTGCAGCCTAACATATCTAACAAACATATTAACATAACTTGACAGTGAGCACGTGGGAGAAATTTGCGTTTCGCATCTAGAAAAGCGTACGCCCTATTTCATTTTCGCTATAGTGATCTATTATAAAACACATACCACATCTTAACTCGTACACACACATGGGTCCCTCATAAAAAGGAAACCCCTTTATAAAAATCTACAGTGTTATATCCTTGCGTTGATGGTAATGTATAGCTCCCTATAAATAAAAAATAAGGCTTTTTAACTACAAATATAACCAATACGCAACCATACCGACGTGACGGACGCTATCAGACATTACTGTGTCGACATTTGTGTCTCAATCTTATTGTGACGCGTGAAAACAGCAAGGAACGTACAATGTCACAAACGCGTGTCGCCCTAATGCGACTTTTACTATATTTTACATTGGTCAGCATCATGTATTGCGCTAGTGTCGCGGACGAGTTGGACGAGGCCCCGTCACGTCCCAAGAAATCGCACGCGGGTCAAAATGTCAAGCATTTGCCCGGCCCGACCGCTTGCATCTGGACGCACAACGAGGTGACAGGTTGAGCGGGAAAAGAAACCGCCACGTTCGGGCAGCCCCGAAAGGGGTTTTCACGCCCCGTTTCCTGCATGTCTGCCCGGCGAACCCACTCTCCTTCTCGACCCTTCTTTCCTGGAACCTTTCCTGGATCTATTCTTCTCCACCTTCTGTCAATTTCATTTCTCTGTCTCTCCGTCTCTCTAGATCTCTACCCTGTGTTAGCCATGGCGCGTAAGCGTAAGAGCGCAGCTGAAACCACGGACACGTCCCCGCGGGATCTCAATGAGATCTCGTATATTTATCGGATTAACAAGCAGCTTGCCGCTGGCCGCAAGCCTACGGGCCCGCAGCCCGAAGAAACACCTTCGCGTGGAGACACCTCTTACCAAGCCCCTCGTGACGTCCCGACGCGCGGGCGCCGTGACGCGGACCGGGTTGCATCCTCGCGCAGCCCCGACGATAACGCCTTCGGTGACGACGACGACGACTCCGAATACAACAAGTACGCCGTGGGCATTGACGACGAGGCGGCCTCTGGAGGAGAGGAGGACAAGGGCATGTCCGACTCCGAGGACGACGCGGAGGGTGACGACGCGGAGGGCGAGGACGATGACGCCCTGGAGGAAACGCAGCCCGCGGCACCGGCAGCTCGCCGCGGTCGTGCCAAGGCGGCATCCGGCGTCAATACCGCCGCCAAGGGCGGCGAGCCAACTCGCCGTGCTCCGAAGGCCCGCGACCACATCCCGGTAAAGCGCAGCGTCTGGTCGCAGCTGGAAACATGATCCTCGTGGCCGCGCGCTGGTTCATGAAGGAGAAGCTCGAGCCTCTCCTCGGGAAGCAGGGCTAGCAGTATTGGGCCCGACTCGTCCGTCACATCAAGAAGGAAAACACTGGTTGGGTGCGCGGCATGAACGCGGTGCAAAAGCAGTGGCGCAACCTCGTGTTTATCTACTAGCAGCTGAAGAAGGGGGAGAAGGCGTCCGGTAAGGGTGCGGTGGCGAAGCCGCCGTGGTTCCCGTACATGGAGCTCTTCCAAAACAACAGGGCCATCGTTGCGCCGCATGTCGTGGATGGTGGCGGTGCAACATACGTCAATGTGACGTGCGGGTTCGCGGTGCCGTCTACGTCCGCTCCATGCACTTCTATGCCGATGTTCATGGGTGAGAACAAACTCGTTGCTACGCAATGTTTCTTTGTTCATGGGTGAGAACAAAGTGATGGCCGTCTCTGCGTTATCCATAATACAATAATCGTTGACAACATGCACTTGGCGCTAACCAAATTTACTTCTCGTTCGTTCCTATCCAGCCCCCCCTCCGCCGAGCACCCCTCTTTCAAAGCGCCCGCGAGAGACGGCCACCATGGGTGCCGCCAAGCTGGTCTGTGAGACCATCAAGGGATGCCACGTAGATGCGATGACCAAGCTGGAAGGCCTCGTCCGCGCCTGGATGCAGCAAGACGAGCGGATTGCTTGCGAACGCAACCAGCAGGCGGCCCCTGCTTAGCCAACTCGCAACGTCGTACCCGAGGAGGCGGACACCCAGTCCGCAACGAACAGCGCCGTAGGCGGCGACGACGGATGGCTCCGTCGTGGGCAGACCGGTGAAGACACCGCTAACCCAAATGCGGACGAGGAGGTGTGGGTTCGCGGCGATGCCGAGTAAGGTAAGAGGACTCCAGTGCCTCACCAAGCCGCTTCCGCCTTTCCCTCAATGTTGCTTGTGTGCACGATACGATTGGCTCTCATTTGAAGTCGGCGACAGCGCCACGAGTCTACTAAGGGTCCCGGTTCCGTGGCAAGTTGGCCCACGCCGTGTTGACGCGCCTCACCTCCCCCATTGTTTCACACATGTTGTGCAGGATGATGCAACACGACGCCCCTGCAAGCACGCGCCACAGCTTGCAGTCGTTGCGGCCCACGAATAAACGCCATCCGCCTTTGAAGGCGCCGATGCAGCGCTCTACTGCCATGCGCATAGCGCTTTGGCAGTAGTTGAAGCACTGCTCACAGTCTTCCATTAGGCCCTCCCGGGGTGCATGTAGTGGGGTCAGGCAGAAATCTCTGAGTATGTAGGCAGCATCACCCACTATTTGATATGGCGCTATATCGTCGTTGTGCAACCTTTCCTGTAACTCACTGTTCATGAACACGCGTTGATCGTGTGCACTCCACGGGTAACCGATCAGGTAGTCCCATCTGATGCCGCATGCATTACACGTTAACTGCGACTGCATGGCGTAACACGACTTCCGCGTATAGTACTCTTGCATATGCCCCTCCATTCCCTTCTGTTGAAACTATAGGCAAGAATCAGAAACAGGAAAGAAAGAGGTTTTCACTAGCAGCAGTTGAGATACATATAGGAAACCCTAATTGGGTTGTACTCGCTATAGAGTACCCCACTTCAGGCTAGACAAACATCGACATTCTGACACACCCCCATAGTCAAAGTGGGGTACAATCAACACAACAAGCAGGCAGTGCAATAGTTCACAAGGATAAGCAAAGCTAGAGGCTATCACAGAGGGCAAGTGAGGAGGAGGAGAAACTGTGGAGGGCGAGAAGATGAGAGGCGACGGCTGAAGCTGCAGACACACGGGCAACAGGAGTGCGCAGCACTGACGCTACCAGGCTAAACCCGGGCTACACGGCGACAGGCGCGGCTGGCTCACTGTGCTCCCAGGAGTGCTCACACTGTGGCTACCGGGCGCAGAGCCCCGGACTACACGGCCACAAGGGGGTCGTGGCTCTCTGGACTACCAGGAATGCTCACACTGTGGCTACCGGGCGCAGAGCCCCGGACTACACGGCCACAGGGGGTCGTGGCTCTCTAGACTTCAGGCGCTGCGGACGACAAGTCGGCTACCTCCGGTCAACCTCCCCCAACTGTCCCACACCCCTTTGACACACCCCCTGCTGAACCACTAGCACCGCTCACACGCCACCCCCCTCGTACCACTCCGACGGCTCCAACACATCCACCCCCCTCAGCGGCAGCTGCAGCAGTGGGAGACGGAGGAGGAGGAGGAGCAGGGGACGGCTCACACACATGGCACCCCCATACTCTCCACCCCCAAACCCTAACACAGGAGTGCGGTTAGAAGCTCGGGGGACGGCGTGCGGCACTGGGGCAGACGGTACCGGCCGCTCACGGGCCTGGCGCAGGCCGGATGAACTGCGCGCGGGCTGCCCGAGCCGCGCGCGGGCCTGGCGCAGCCCGTACGGGCCGCGCGCGGGCCTGGCGCAGGCCGTACGAGCCGCGCGCGGGCCTGGCGCAGGCCGTACGGGCCGCGCGCGGGCCTGGCGCAGGCCGTACGGGCCGCGCGCGGGCCTGGCGCAGGCCGTACGGGCCGCGCGCGGGCCTGGCGCAGGCCGTACGGGCCGCGCGCGGGCCTGGCGCAGGCCGTACGGGCCGCGCGCGGGCTGTACGGGCTGCGTGCGGGCCTGGCGCAGGTCGCGCGGGCCGCTACGGGCGACGGGGGGCGACGCGCGAGTCCCCGGGGGCGCTGCGACGGGCGACGGGGGGCGACGCGCGGATCGACGGGGCAGAAAACCGCCGCGCGCCCGCCGCGCGCCCCGAGCGCGCGGCGGGATGAAAAATACGCCATGCACCCGAGCGCGCGGCAAGCAGAACACGTCGCGCGCCCGGGGCGCGCGATAGGCAGGACAGCAGCGGAAGCATTAGGTGGCGGGCCCATCCACAGGATCGACCCAGGAGGGTCGACCTGCTCTGATAGCATGTTGAAACTATAGGCATGAATCAGAAACAGGAAAGAAAGAGGTTTTCACTAGCAGCAGTTGAGATACATATAGGAAACCCTAATTGGGTTGTACTCGCTATAGAGTACCCCACTGCAGGCTAGACAAACATCGACATTCTGACACCTTCATGTGTACATGTGTCCCGTCTATAGCCCCCACTACTGCAGGTACCCCTTTGACGGCGCGGAATTCCTCTGCCATCTCGGGTCCTTGCGGGTCGGGAAGTGGACCCACTACTATTTGAAGACCGTGGCATCAGCCACACGTCGACGAGGGCATGACAGAGGGTCTTCGACAACCCGTGTCAAACATTATATATGTTCCTGCTGTGTAGGCTACAGTGGGTTAGCCTTTAGGGGGTACATTACTCTAGGGTTTCCTACTTGTACTCCCAACATTCCTAGTTCAATCATTCTCGTTCAGTTCTACATTCTAACATGGTATCAGAGCTTAGGTCAGGACCTAGTACCGACATTCTAAGAGGTGAGACATGTCTACGTACGACGGTCCACTCGCTAGGTACTTGATTGCGACCAAGTTCGCAACCTCATGGGTGATGAAGTATCGCTCCACGTATGGCTGCATGTAGTATTGCATGCCATCTACGATGTACTCCAATATTGCCCGGTTAATACTGAATAGGTCCCTGAACTCCCCGTCTCCCATGCCTTGCAGGTCCTCCAGCAACAACTGGTATCACCGACGGCGCAAGCTTGCCCTTCTATCCCGCTCGGTCATCCGTGTGAGCTAGAAGATGACGAGATGTCGTCGGCGAAGACATTGGACCCCAACAAGCCGCCTACCGCTCTGGCGACCACGTCCATGAAGATGTCGTAGTAGAACATGATCCATGCGACTAGCATTCGCATGAGGAAGGGCACAGCACGAGGCTCTGCCATAGTTGCAACATCAACAGGCTCTACTGTTTGTTTGTGTTGAAATGCCGGTGTACTTGTACCAGTGCATTTGCCTTGCTCCTGTGTGTGTTGTTCCTATACCAACTCGTGGCGCCTCATTTGCAAGATGCGTTACTGTGCCTAGCGTAGTGGGTCCCATTTCACGCACACTGGTTTTGCAACTCTGCCCGGCGCCAAACGTCAAGGATCGAGTCAAAGGGGGTCGGCCAATAAAAGGCCGCCAACTGTAGCCCTCTTTCAGTCGCACAATGTCGAGGTACATCAGTTTTTTTTTACGCGAGGATGGGCAAATTTACAGGTGCGACTCGGGAAAAAGGGGATTGAGACACAAATGACGACACAGGCATGTACCCTAAATACTCTGATTAGTCTGAGTGCCTAGACACTGGAAACTGATTTTTCATATTAGTTGATTTCATGTCCCCGAGTGCTTCAAAGTTATTGTTTTAACAGCCCTGATTTCATATTTACGTACTTCAATGTCTAGTTTTTGCGAAGCCTGTTACTACATAGTATTGTTTGTGGTCACTGAATGCAACTTTATCGAGATGAAGTTTCTTGAAAATTTCCTTCCGATACACCGCCATCGAGGTCGTACACTGCCGATATAGCACGGTGCCAGCACGGGCGAACAGAGGACCAGGTATCGCACCAGAGTACGCTCTCTTGTTGTTAAAACGCACAAGTTTGAATGGTTCCTTGCTTGTCGCATCGCTACTCGCCCACGTTCTTCTTTCCAATTTCGGCCGACCTGGCGGGCCCCTCACGCACGCGCGACAAGCAGCAGGCGCCGGCACCCACGAGCCACACGCCAGCCACGACTGGCCCCAACCCCAACCCCCTGTTCAACCCGGCGGAACTGCAAGTACTAATGGGGCTGTTACAGCAGCACGCGCCTATTACGGCAGGAACTACTAGAAACGAGGATGCTACAAATTCTGCAAAATATGATAAGAAGAGAGAAGAGATTTCTGTCATCACATACGCCCTCCCAAGACTGCCCGCATCAAGAAGGACCCGCCCCCTGCTCCTTTTGAAGATGACAACGATGAGTCCAGCGACGCTGATGGTGAGGCCTCCCCTCGCCGTCGCAACCCAATTT